AGAATTGTTAATTCGATTATTTATTTTATTACAGCCAAAATTCATTAAGTCGTGACGAAATGTTGTGCAGGGGATTGTAATACATTGTTGTATTATTTGCTGCATAAAAGCGACTAAGTTCTAGAATAACTGTAGCGTGAGAACAGGGTCGCGTTTTCCAACTCATGTCCTTAGGTGTGAGATATCATATAGGTACATGACCTATATAACCCGAAATCGGTTGTTGATATATGTATATGGGAGCTATATCCAAATCTGAACCGATCTTGACAAAATATTCAATGTTTCAAAGTTACAACTCTAACTGATCGTTGTTCGTACCCTTTTAAACCGACCTAAAAAAATCCAAGTGGTACACTTCATTGTATACGGATGTGCAAATTATGAGAGATTGATGACAGGAGTATTGTCACCCTTTATGGACCCTCCACCATAGTATGGAGGGTATATTAAGTTTGTCATTCCGTTTGTAACACCTCGAAATATTGTTGATCAGCATCAAATTCTATGTCGATTTATCAATGTTCGCCCGTCTGTGGAAATCACTCTACTGAAATGTGTATTATGTCTGCAGGACTTTCGGTATTGAAAATGGACTATGTAGGTCCACCTCTTCGTATAGCCCCCATATAATGGTACCCCCTTGATATTAGGTATTTTGATGATTTTAGCGACATTATTTACCGAAATTGTTTCAATTTTGGTATTTGAAGTTCGTAATGGATACCACATCTTAAGACAGAAAATAAGCCATGTAGGTCTACGTCTTCGTATAGCCCCCATACAACGGTACCTCCCGATATTGGGTATTCTGATGATTTTAGAGACATGATTTACAGGAACTGTTTCAAATTTTGTATTTGAATTTCATAATGAATACTACAGCCTATGACAGAAAATTGTCTGAGCAGGTCCACGTCTTCGTATAGCCCCGATAGAACGGTACCTTTTATAATCGGTATTTTGATGATTTTAGCGATATTATTTACCGGAACTATTTCAAAATTTGTGTTTGAAATTTGTAATGACAGACAGAAAATTGTCTGTGCAGGTCCACGTTTTATAACCCCCATGGTACATCCCTATATTCGGTATTTTGATGATTTTATCTACATTATAAACAGATTTTTTTAAGTTTCGCATTTGAATATTGACAAAAGTTACCTATGCAGGTCCACGTCGTCATATTGACCCTAATATACGGCTACATTCGGTATTTTTAAGATTTTAACAGAATTTTTTACAGATATTTTTTTTTTTTTTTTGAAAATGTTAAATTTGTACCAAATGGTGGAGGGTACTCAAAGTTCGGCCGAACTTACAGCTTTTTTACTTGCTTTATTCAAATTGTTGACCTCTTTACGGGTGAGATACTAGAAGGAGTGGGTTGATTTATTCAATTTTCATACCAGATCTCGTGATAATAAAAGGGGTTGAGTAAAATTCGAAGGATGGTCATTTCTCATTTTACAAGCTTCATTCAAAGGGTTTCCTTTGGGGGGAAGGTACCAGAAGGTGTCCACCAATGTTGCTCATTTTCGCATCTGACATAGGACTTATGAAAACATTAAAATTTGCAAAAATGGCACAAAATCAGTTTATTCTTTCTTGCTCCATAAGGTATATTATGTAAGTGATACAATTTATGATCTGTGCTCAAAAAAATAATAACAATAATATATAAATAAATAAAAAAAATAAATTAATTAAAAAAATAATATTAAGTTCGGCCGGGACGAACTTTTAATACCATCCACCAATGGGTAAGGACACATTTTCATATAAAAACTACAAATCATAAAGTGAGTGATGCCGTTGTATGGAAGCCATACCAAAACGGGACAACTTTATACTACAAGGACTGTTATCTTTTGCGTATCTTAAATACCAAAGTAAAAATTAAAAAAAAAAAGTCGTGGGTAAATAAAATAAATGATTAGGGTTATCAAAATACAAATATCGGTAGGTACAGTTATATTTGCGCTATATGAAAACATGGACCTAGAACATTTAATATTTTCTGCCAGCGGAGCGAAAACCTATTACGAACTACAAATATCAATTTTTAGACAAATCCGTGGAAAAATGCGGCAAAAATTATATGGGGGCTATACGAAAACATGGACCGATACATTTTTAGTACCAACCATTATGGACACAATACGATAATCGTTTATGTTAGAATGTCTTATGGTCTAGACTCATTGTACGAGATCTATACCGGAACGAGGATCATTTGTACCCTTAGTCTTCTACGGCAATCATCACCCATTGTATGCAGTTTCATCCATTTGCCATAGTCTTTCTATTTTAACTAACGTTTACGTGAAATGGCAATACTATGTTTTACTCTTTCAGTGAATTACGATGTGTTTTTACACATATCCTTATCATTAAAGATAATATTACACTTACCTCCATTTCAGTGCAAGATACAAAATCCAAAAATTTTTATGTGTTTATTTATTTATATAAAAACAATAATTTATTCAATATTTATGAAATGTGTGTTTTTACATGAATTTGCTTAGACTAATTATGATTTTTTTCATTTTTCAATTAAACAAAACAAAAAGGAAATTATTACGCAAATAAACTTTAACTCAAATAATTTTTTTTTACAATCGATATAAAATGAACTAAATATACAGACATAAAATGTAAACTAAAATTAATTAATGAGTATTGCTGTATTGTGGCTACAAATGAACAAACATTAAAAAGAAGAAAATTAAACGAAAAATATTGAAAAGCAGAAAAGTGAAGAAACGAGAAGAAAGCGATTTGTTGGAAGAGAATTTATATTTATAATTTTTGTATGTAGGTGATTTAGGTGAAAATGTTTTAAGGGGTGTCAATGTAGTATTTAGATTCAATATTGAAGAAATTTAATTTCAAATTTTAATATTGGTGGACTACGTGGAAAGGTTAAATATTGGAAATGGTGTTGTGGTGGATGGCAAATTGGCAAAATGCATAGACGAAGGCCAAATTGGCAAGCTTTTGAACATCCCAAGAAGGGGCAGGGGCTGATTAATTTTATGGTCTGAGATCGTATGGCATGTTGAACGAAATGAAGACCTTTCAGAATATCGATTTATCGATGACAAACTGATCTTGCAATAATAACAATACTCTTTTGAATATCGTATGGCGTAATGAACGAAATGAAACCCTTTCAATATATCGATTTTTGTTAAAATAAGTGGAAGCTATAGGTCTATATTGTCAATTGTTATACTCTCCATCATTCATAATTGAAATTATCATTTAAGGCCCAAGGAAGTATATATACTCTAAGACCTGTCGCTCTGTCCGTCTGTGGAATTCACACTAACTTTCGAAGGAATTGACCTAAATGGCTAAAATATTTGTTATGTTTGTAATTGTAAATTGTTGTGGGAATGAGATGGAGTATATCGGTATAGTTAAGATATCTCCCCATATTCGGGATTCTTTTTTCAACGAAATTGTTTGAAATTTGGTATTTGAGGTGCTTAGTAGATACCAACTTAGCAGGCTGAAAGTAATCGACATAGGTTCCTATTTTTCTATATCGCTTTATATGCATCCCTATGAAATTGTTTCAAAAGGTATATTTGAAGTTGCAATGGGACCCTTTATCATCGCTATGAAGTTTTTCTATTTATAGGTCCACGTTTTCATTTTGCCTTCATATAAAGATACCTCACGATATTCATTATTTTTACAATTCTCGACACATTTTCCAACGGAATCTTTTGAAATTTGAAAGTTAAAATATTAAAGGAAACTAGATTCTCCGACAGAAATCCATTCCGACATATATATATTTTTTCCTAACATATCTCCCGATACTCTATATTTGAATGGTGTAAGCTACATTTTTCAAACGAATAGTTTCAAATTTGATATTTGGAGCTCATAGTAGGCACCAGCTCTTTTGGCGTGAAAATGTTTAAACAGACCCACGATTTAAAAACGTAATCTCCAAATATTTAGTATTTTGATGAATTAAGATCATCATATGTAAAACCTCCTCAGGTAACAAATTTACCTCGCCATTATAGACCTATTTTCCAAAGTGTTACTTTTCAAATAGTAGAGAGTGTTCAAAGTTCGGCACGGTCGAATAAAACAGTTTTTTAAGGGTTCAGCTTGAGTTGGTCCAATATTTTTACTAAATCGGGTATTTTTTTTTTCTTTTTACCAGAAGTGGCCGATATAGCCCACCTTCCGATTCGATTTTATTTTGATTCAACTATTATTATTTGAAAGACTTGGATAGTATCCGCTTCGATAGTTTTCGGACCCACCAGCCACTAAGAAAAATTTACACTACCAGATCAACGGGCGGGATGACTCAAAATCTATTATTGATAAAAAGAAGTGGATAAATTCGATTCAATCCACTTTCGAAAAATAGAGGATTTCAAAAATTTCCTCAAAGACTACATAATGAAGATCTAGTCTGAGCCTAATTTAATGACGGATTGCCAGGTAACGTCATTTGTCAGACTTTTGAACATGGTGGATATGTGAGCTGCCAGCGAGGTGTGTCAGTCTCCCCTTAGTCCTCATTTACTGTGCAAAACTTGGAACTATCAGTTTGCTCGGCCAGCGCCAAAGCTCCTCCCACCATTACGTAGGATGGAATGCCATAATTCATGATGGCCATTGAAATCGCCTAGAACCATACATAAAACGCGGGTACAGCTATTTTAAGATAGTATGTGCACCTCTAACTCGGCGGTTCCACACTTGATCGCTATCCTTATACCATGTATGGGTCACTAGAGTCAAGTTCAGACGAAATAGGTCTATACTGGATAAAGTTGTGCAAAAGGAACGCTATACCCTCACCTTGGGTGCGACCCTTTCTCGGTATGTTGTATCCATTACAACTTTGAATTATGCATATGTTACTCAGCGTCGACTTCTGGATCGCAGCGACCTTCATGTTCTTCCGACTCATGAAGTTTCTGTGATCTTGCATCGGAGACCATCGCTGTTAAATTGGAAGAATGGTGTACTATCCAAAAATGTTGCATATATTGCATTCGGTTTAGACTGGAGCAATTCCTGAAGTGCATACCAAGTTATCAACGGAAGATCTGGTGTAAACACAATAGATATCGACCCGCCCCTTCTGGCACCTCCTCCCACAAAGGGTCACAATTTATAATACTGATATATCTCATAACCTGCGAAATAAGCTAACGATTAACCAGAGATCTGATGTGAATATGAAATTTATCGGACAACTCCTTTCGGTAGCTCCCCACAAATGTCCAAAATTTTGATTATTCGGATAAAATTGCAAATAAATGTTGGATTTTCTTTAAATGCTGCACGTACCAATATTTTTATCAGTACTAGATGAAGTGAAATACTTCGGTCCGCTATATATGTGGCACCTCATGTATATATCAACATTTTACAAAAACCATCACATTTCTCATAAAATTTGAAGGAAGTATTCGATATAGTCCAAATCTAGTAGAGCATACAAAGTTTGAAAGGAATCGTTGACTTAATTCGCAGGTTATTATAAATTGGGACCCTTTTTGGGAGGAGTTACCAGAAGAGACGGATCGATATTTATTGTGTTTACTCCAGTTCTTCCGTTGATAAAAGTATTGGAATGTGTGAAGTTTAGAAGGAATCAGGTGCTTATTTCTCATTTTATGAAATTTAAAATTTTGATTTCTATGTGGGGAGGTAGAAGAATTGAAACGATGCATCCGATCTCACTCCAACAATTTTCTTAGTAAAATTTAATAATTCTTAATAGTTCTAATAGGTAAATTTTTTCTATGAAAATGTTGACATTTTGTGGAGGAGGTACTAGAAGGAGTAGACTGATATTGGCTTTTTGCGAACTCGATCTAAGTTTGATAATAATATTACAATGTACCCAGTTTCACCAAATCAGATATTCCGTTCGAGAGTTATCGTGCGCATCAGCCACACAGACGGACATCCCTAGATCGACTCCAGATGTCATGAAACGGAAATGGTTCTAAGAGACCTTGGGTCTAAAACCTTTATTTCGATGAGGCATATTTTGGCCGTATTTAACGATATATGACTGAAGGTATAAAAAAGCAGACCAAGAAATGAAACAAAATTGATTAGCACACCAGATTTTGAAATCAAGCGGATCTTAGATCTAACGGACAATTCGAAATTAACCCTAACGTATTTATGTTATGGAGTATACCATTTGGAAAGCTGAGGAACTGGCAATAAACGGCAAATAAAATAAGATCTCCACTTCGAAAGAAAGCCATGAAGTCGATTTGGTAAATTGGTTACAGGTATCGAAATAAATTTTACTTATATCTCTTCGAGATAGACGCAGGAAGGAACTAAATTGAATATAGTGCAGAGGCAATAGAAACGTAAATTCGTAATTTTTTTACTCAAATAGATAGCTTATATGTTGAAGACAGTGACAATGAGGTTTACACAAAATGTGTTAACTCGCTTAGACCCCTAAATGTAAAATGTCATTAAATTCGGTTGAGTAATATTAATTGGGGGGTTCGTTGTTGCTGAATGGCAACTTTCATCCACAAATTATTTCCTTAAAAACACTGCCCAATAAAATGGATGTCAAGTCTTAAGAGGGGAGATGGTGGTGTGATTAAATTTCTTTTTTGGGACTGAAGGCCTTGGTGAGTAAGTAAAGAACCCCCACTAATTCGCCCTAAGTAGAATATTCGAGTCAAAAATTCGTATTATAGAGTAATGAGAAAAGTATGAAATGAGTATAAAAGTGTGTCGCGGAATGTGTATGTATATGTGTATATAATTTTGTACATTTAAAATTAAAATTTCAATTCTATTTAACAAAACGATTATATTGATTTGATTTTGAGTAAATTAATATTGATTTTCTATTTTTTTTTCAATTTTGGCACAACCGCGTACCATTTTCGGTTTGCCAAAACACTCCACTACATCAAATTCTGTAAATGTATGTACCTGTGTATGTGTATGAATTGTTTGTGTATGGTTGTATGTGTGTGATTTTCATTAAAATTAATAAATTAAAATTAAAATAATGTCTTTAAGAATTTTGTTCGTCAGATACACAAACGTTTCTTAACCCACTCAATGTTCTTAACTTAAAGCCAACAATGGTTCATCCTCCAATTCCTTGTGCACCGATTTCTTTTTGTATTTCTTCTGTTGCAGTTTTGTCTTGACCAATTTCGTCTTACTCTTACTCGAATGTTTCGATTTCTTTAGTTTCTTTTCCTCGGCTGCTTTTTCCTTATCCAGCAGTTCCAATTGTTCAAAGATATTTTTCGGATGTGGATGATTGCTGGGTTTGGTCGAGTTTTTGGCCTGATAGACAACAACAAAATGTGAAAAGGCCGTATCGACGGGCACATTAATGTCGGCAAAATCACGGAAATGGGCAAATTGCTCCTCCGGGTAGGTATATTTTTGTACAAAATCAACGCTGTCTTCGGGATGGTAAGGCATTTCTTCTTCGGGGTAGAAGGTGCCACCGCGTATAACACCAAAATCTCCAGAACCCAAAATTGAGGCATCATAACCACCTGGTTTTTGATTGGGCGCCAAACCAGGACCCAGATTTCCTTCGGGCCTTGTTTCGTATTTTGGCAAAAAGGGAGCATCGGGCAGAGAGAAGTAGGGTCGAGAATGACCAGATGGTGGTGCCTCCCGAAAAAAGGGTGGATAATAATTCTGTGCAGCTTGACTGTGAGAATCGCCTGGATTTATTCGATGTCTTGGCTCGTGCACATCAGATCTGGCATTATACCGTGTACTTTGCACGGGACGGAAGTGTTGTACTATGGTCGTGGGTGGCTCATAGAACTGTCGCTCTTGTGACCGTAAAATGGTTATGGGCGAGAAATCATTTGGCTCCATAAGCATATCGCTGTCTTCTTCGGGAAATTCATCTGGAAAGAGAGGAAATGAGAAGAAATACTTATTTATTAAAAAATCTTGGTTTTTATTAAAGTCATATAAATAAATTAAAATCATAAAATGTTAATATATAAGTCTATCTGCGTTTATTCTATTTCAGTACATTTTCTCCAGAATAATATTTTAAGGCATACTTCCATATAAAAATACGAATCTGAATGAAAATTTTTAAATTACTTTAAATGAAATCAAAATTAAAATAAATAAATATAAAAAATTAAAAATATTGGAAAAAAAAACATTTGGAATTGTGTCTTTCTTTCGTAATCACTTTCATTTCAAAAATAGACCCTAAGTATAACAATTGACGTATCCAGAAGATCTTAATTTATTTAATTATCTTTTTTTGGAACTAGCAAATGCTCGCAACTTCATCAGCGACAAGTCCACCCTACAATTTTGGATTCATTCCAACAGCTTATGTTAGGTCCTTTAGTACTCAAAATGCACAATTTGTTCACTTAAAAAATAATATTCAAAACTTCAAACATTATATTAAATTTTCAGACTTTCCATATTTTTCATTTTTGGAAAAAATAAGTTTTTACTTTTAACACCAAAAAATTTTCCAAGTTTTTATACCGTACAACACTATGTGTTGGGGGTATTATAAGTTTGATTGGGCCAAAAATTATGTAACACCTCGAAATATTGGTTTCCCACATAGGAAAGTATATATGGATCTTCCTATCTCGCCGAGCTGAGTTGATCTAGCTATGTATGTCCGTCCGTCAGTCTGTCCGTCTGTCCATGTTAATTTGTAATCACTCTACAGGTCGCAATTATGGCCCAATCTTCACGAAATTAAAAATAGAGGTGGGGTTAAGGTCAGGATAGAACCCTATTTCTTTTGGAGATGATCGCATAAAATTTAGGGGTAGGTTTCACAACATATGTGTTAAATAAAAGTCAAATTTTTCATTAAACCGCGAATATTTTTAATCCCGGCGAAATCACAAGTAGACGAACAGGTCAATTCTGACCGTTACGTAAATGTCGATAGTAAATATATCGGATATATATAGCGAAATATATATAATGTTTATATACAAAGGAAGAGAATGTTAGCTAGAATGGATATAGCTCATGAATGGCTGGACCGATTTTGACAAATTTTGGCTATTTAAAATGCCTCCTTGACATAAAAGAATAAAATCTAAAAAAAATCGCATAAAAAGATGTCAATACTGATGTTAATATAGATTTTGTAGTATTTTGTGACATTTTTTTTATTTTTTTCATAATTTTTATCGCATGCGATTTTTTCATTTTGACTTATAATATTGAAGAGTATATTTTGTAATATTTTTTCACCTTACAACACAGGTTGGAGTTATTCTATACAGATTGCAAAGGTATGGTTAGGCTCAGAAGGGCTAGGCCTATTGTTTTCAAAGATGTCCGCAATATATTTAGAGGTTGAAGTGGACCAACAACAAAAAATGTTCCTGATTTTTCAGTCGTTATAAAGGTCACAAATTGAAACCAAAGGACACGAAATTTCGCACAAAGTTAGAGTTTAGGACAGCGGGTAGAACTACTTTTGTGTGGAAAAATACCAGCATTATTTACAGGCGAATTCAAAATACACAAAAGGCGAACTTTTGGCTTCCTATGCTGATTTCCTTGACGAATATAGCCAAACATCGTAGACAATTAAATCATATAGATGAGTCTAAATTTAGAGATACAGAGGGGCCTCTTGCTTTTGGAAATGATCGCAAAATATTTAGGGGTTCAAATGAACCAATACAGAAACGATTACCTCATCAGAAGCCAATCGACACGCCTGAGCAGAGAGTTTGGGACAGGGAAGAATTCTAGCATTTTGGATGACCATTGGATTATAATAATGGACCACAACAACTAACAGTACGGCGGAATGCATAAATATTGGGCAAATATCCCTGGTCAATATGCTAAGGTTAATATCTGGGCAGTGATCCGTGACAAAATTTCAAAAGCGAAATCTTCCAAAACGGATTTGGACGTAAGGAGGCTTAAAATATTTTGTAGTGTTGTAGGGTATCAAATAGTCGGCCCCGCACGACTATAGCCTTTGCTTGAATTTTATCGAGAAGAAAATTAGCAAAACTTTTACCCAATGGACCCACATCCATTTTTTCTGTAGAAAACGATTTCAATGTCACCATGTGTAAACCGTAGTAATCAACATCGACATCATTATCGAATTCCACCTCTTCTCCCAATGCCATATTTAGTAAAATTTAGTACTCACATCCGAAACAATAGACACCAACAGTGACCAAAATTAGTACAAATGTCAATTTCAGATACCGTCCAAGACCTCAATATAAAATTTTAGGATTCCAGCCCTATCCTTTCAACCAATATCAATATTTAATACAATTTACTACTTTTCTAAAAATGTCAAGCAACTTTAATATTTCAACATCCGATACCAACAGTGATATATATTTCAATTTTCTGAATTTCTGCTCTCTCCTTTCACCTAATACCCAGCTTAGTAATACTTGGTACTTTTCCAAAACCGTCTCAATATCTTAACCACATACACCAACAATAAAGTCTTTATTAAATTTAAAGATTTCAGTACTATCCATTCACTTAATATCAAAAAAAAAAAAAAAAAAAAAAAAAAAAAAAAAAAAAAAAAAAAACACCTCCATATCCCAATCCCAGATACCAAGAAAGAGCTCAATATAAAATTTCGGGATTCTTCTTCACCTAATACCCATTTTAGTACCACTCAGTACTTTACGAACAATTATAGTACATATTTCAAAACAACCTCCATATCTTAACCACAGAAACCAACAGTGACATTTAGATCAAATTACAGGATTCCAACCTTCATCCGATAGCAAATTTAGTACCATTTGGTGCTTTTCGTATAAATATAGGACTCATTCCAAACCACAACCAAATCTCAACCTGAGATTCAAAAGTTATCTAAACATCAAATGTCAGGATTTCAGCTCTATTCCTTCACCATATAGCAAACATAGTACCATTTAGTACTTTTCGTACAATTATAGCATACATTTCCGAAACCACCATATCTTAACCACATCAATATCAAATTCCAGGATTTCAGCTTTTTTCCTTCATCCAATACCAAATTTAGTACCATTTGATACTTTTCGTATGTATATAGGACGCATTCCAAACAACTGCCAATTCCCAATCTCATATCCAAAAGTTATGTAAACAACAAACTTCAGCTGTATTCCCTCACCCAATACAAACATAATACCTTTCAGTTCCTTTCGTACACTTCGTATACTTGTAGTAAATATTTCCCAAATCGCCTCTTTATCACAAAACTAACACAAAGAGGACCCCAATACAACATTTCCAAATTCTGGCTTTATCCGTTCACCCTAAACCAAATTATTTCAAATTTAGTACTTTTCATACAAATATTTTCAAATTTCCAAAACCGTACAAATATAAGAAACATTTCCGAAACCCCCTATGTGCAGGCTAAACATGAACAGCGATTCTAATACCAAATTTCAGATTTCAAGCACTGTTCATCCAATACCAAACTTACCAAAAATAGTACTATGAAGTACTTTTCGTGCACATGAAGTACTCATTTTCGAAACCAGACCCTTATCACAAATCTGCCATCAAAAATAACACAAAAATACCAAAGAAGTAAAAAAGCAACTAAGCCGAACCGAACTTTAATACCCTCCACCATTTGGAAGGAACTAAAAAAAAAAATTGAAAAATAAATTAAAAAACTACCACTTAAATGAAAATCGTATATGGGGACTATACGAAGACGTGGACCTGCTTACGAATTTTTTTGTAATAGGGTGTAGTACCCATTAAGATCTTTCAATACGAAATTTGAAACGATTCCGGTGAATAATAAACGTGGACCGACATGGCCCATTTACGAACTTAACCTGCCTAATGGAAAATTATGCATGTATGCAAATTGATTCCCATTCCAAATTTCTAGTTTTTAGTTCTAACCACATGATACGAAATAGTATCAATACATTTTAGTATTTTTGCATACACTTATAGTGCGAATTTAGGAAAGTTTCCCTCTGATACTTCTATCATACACTACATCAGTGACCCTCTTTCCAAATCTAAGTGTCCTAGCTCCACTGCATCCTCAAATACAGAGAATGTAGTAGCTTTTAATAGTTTTAGTATAGTTATGGCACAAAATTTCCAAATAATGCAGCCTTATCTGACCCTTCGGATCACGGGTGACCCTCACCCAGTGAGGGGTGTGCGTTGGCCAATTCTCAATCACTTAATTACTTTACTCTTTTATTAATATTGATAATCTACAGGGTGAGATAAAAAAGCTGCAACACATTCAAACCCCATAATTTTGACATTTTTTTAAATTTTATTGAATGAAATCAAACAAGTAAAAGAACATTAAGTTCGGCCGGGCCAAACTTTTAATACCCTCCACCTTAGGGTAAAGGATACATTAGGAAAAATGTGGCAAAAACCATCAAAATAACGAATATCGGAGTGTACCGTTATATGGGGGCTATACCAAATCATGGACCTACACATGCAAGGTTTCGCCAACAAAGCTAGAACCCATTATGACCTACAAATAATCATCAAATCATCAAATTACCGAATATAGGGAGGTACCGTTATATGGGGGCTATACCAAACCGTGGACCTATAATTACAATGACTCGCCATACGAACTGCGACCCATTATGATCTACAACTACCAAATTTTCAGAGAAATTCGTAAAAAAAATGTGTCAAAAATCATCAAAATACCGAATATTGGGAGGTACCGTTATATGGGGGCTATACCAAATCATGGACCCATACATGCAATGTTTAGCCACACGAACTAGGACCCATTATGACTCACAAATACCAATTTTTAGACAAATCAGTGAAAAAATGTGGCAAAAACCATCAAAATACGGAATATCGGGAGGTACCGTTATATGGGGCTATACTATATCATGGACCTATACATGCA